AATCCAAACAGCGGAGTTTTAAATCGAGATAATAATCCACCACTTCTCCACGTACAAAAGTGGCTGTTTTGACAGTTTTTGTAACACAATGTCAACCCTCAAACATTTAATCCCCCGACGGTCTGGAAAGCCATGAACAAGGTTATAAAAGCAGATCGCTAGCATTTATTTGAGGGGTTGGAGTTACTGATTGCTGCCATCATTGTCAGTCAGAGGAGCAGTAAAATTAGCTACTGAGAGTCTAAATTATTTAAGAAAAAGAAAATATAATAAACTTTAGGGGGGTTTCCCATTCACTGCCATCCAGGAGTCTGATATCTAGTCAGGGTTTCGGCAGGTTTTAACAGGTTAAATATAAGACTTTAGCAACCATTATAAATTAAACTGGACATAAACTTACTTTATACAAGTAACATTGACTTAATTAATCCAATAAAAAACCTTTCAAAATCACATTTATGACATTTTTAAAGGCCTAAAACTCACTCACTCAAATACACCCTCCTATTACATGTCATCTGCCATGCTATCTAAACTTAATTTGTATAAAGGCAATGTTAGCATGAACACCAGTACGAACCAACAAAAGAGCACGAGCTATAGACGCTCAAACGACTTCCTGCAGAAAACATAAAAGATCTGCCGCAGAACATCACGTTTGGGTTTTGCAGCTATTGAGCGTGAGGAAAAGCCTGCCAGAAATACCGCCTTGCTCTTATATCTGTTCCTCGTCGTGAGTAGCCTCAGTGGTTAAGAGGTTATCAGCTGACATATGAAGCCTGTACTGTGTATTTACTACAGGACTCGTCAAAGTGCTTTAAAAGAAAGTCGCAGCAGCAGATGTGCGATGACGATGCAACATTAAAAATGGAGAGCAAGCGCGTCGGAGGCTCGAGGGTTTTTTTTTTACTGGTCCAGTTGGTCCAACATCTGGACTCCCACACAGGTGTCTGTCCCATTCAGGGATTGAAACTATAGTTTTAATCTGTGACCCGTTGCTGCTGCTGTGTGGGCGGTGGTCTAATCTGGTTGATGGCGCTTTTGACAAGCTGCCTCAATGTCTGCTTGCTCCCAAAATCTCCATAAACACCAAGAAACTGAGGACATTTTTCTCTTCACTTTCTGTAACTGGGGAAGTATTTTCTGATACAAAGCGATGGCCATTGAGGTATCTATGTTTCAGCATCTTAGTCTGGCATCATGTCACATGCTAACATTTGCTAATTAGCAGTAAACACAAAGTACAGCTGAGGTTAAAGGGAGATTTTATAAGTTATTCTAAATAAAATGCAGAATACAGTATGATGTTTTGAAAACACCCTGATTTCCCTCGGCCTGGGAATATTGGTGGACTGTATTTTACTGATAAACCTGCCCAGTAAAGTTTGAGTTTAGGTGAATCGGACGTCTTCGACCTACACCCGGCAGCCTCTACGTTCTCTGCGGTGTTCTTAAAAGTCACAAGTCCAAACAAAGAAGCGCCAAGTAGTGCAGCGAGGAGGGCACGCTCAAAGAGACGAATCAATGAGGAGAGAGAGGGTGAACAGCAGAAAAGCTGCCAGGAGCAACTTCAGCTCTTGATAAACAGAAGATGACATACCAACCCCTACGTTTGTTTTGGTCCTCGGCTCGCAGCTATACATGAGTGCGTGCAGCGGTGGGTGTGTGGAATGTTTTGAAGGCGTACAATGTCGTACTCCCAAAGTAAAAGTCTCTAAAGGAAGTTGTCAGAGTGGACTTTTTATTATTCTGCCCCGTCTGTGGGATTTATGTAAGAAGAGATCATGTTTTTCCTGTAAATCCGTCCTCCTGTTTCAGGATTCAGTGTCCATCTGTTGTTACAACCATCAGACAGCGAGAGGGGTCGGAGGTCATGTTTTCCATAAGAAACTCTAGTCCATGCTCATCCTCTTACACGCTGCTGTAGTAGACCTAATGTGACAGCTGTCACTCAACGTCTGATCTGAGTTACAGAGCATGTTATTGTAACACTGCACCCGTACTGGGGACAACACAGGTTGGTGTCGGCGCCCCCTGGAAACAACACATATAACATGGTCATTTTCTGACCATTGTTGCTATAATTGTTGACATTTGCAGCTCATGCTCTGACTGATCTCACTCCTTTTTCCATTTGTCTGCATTTTGTCTGCATGTTTTTAAGGTGGAATCATAAAGTTGAAGTACATTTTAAACTCGCTGATGCAATTTCCAATCGATTTTCCCCCTAATTCTAACCCTTTCTCATTATGGCGACTTACAGAATCTTTTTCCTTTTCCCATCAAATTGGCGGAAACAGGCTCCCATAACTGCTTCTGAAATTCTTCTTACAGACTTTTTTTGGTGGCATGTCTCCAGTTTTTGCCCACGTGCCCACGAGTATTTGCACAAGGCACAAAAACTGCCCTTATAGTGCATTTGAGAGGCAACATGCTTCCAATTTATAATCATTTGGCACACAGATTTGTTTGGCGCATCTTATATTTTCTCTTTAAAGAAAATAACAGTGGTTTTAGTCTCTTTGAGAAGAGTCATTATTTGCATGACTGCAATTGAAGAGGTCGAGTCAGAGAACGTAAAGATCGTTTTAAGCGTTTAAACTCTGTCTGCTGAGAAAAACCTGCAGATACCCGGAGCATCAGTACTTGCTCTACATTATCCTCTTTACATATGCAGAGGATTTACTTGTGATTATCATCTGGGAGCTAATGCTCTGACTTTGCACTTCTATTTCTATTCAGCCTCTGGATGATGTGAAATGACGTCAGATATTCTATGGGAGCCACATTTGCTTCTCTTCACATGTCCTCCCCATTATCTCCCTCCTATACCCGCATTGTAATTTCTCCTGTTTTGTAATGTCAGTTGTGGCCTGGAGGCACCTTCCCGCCTCACGCGGTCCGCAGCAGAGTGACTGGCATCTTTGTGCCAACTTAACAAAAGAAAGACCTGCAACAAAAGAAAGACCTTGAGGCAGCGTTTCTCTGGCTCTATATAGCAGCCACAGATGGATGATGAAGTGACAGCACTCTTGCAGCTTTATCTCTCGTGCATACTCCCTCCCTGCATATCTGAGTGCCTCAAACTGCCAGAGATATCAACGAGTGTATTAAAAACTAACGAATCATCAAAAAATACATAACATTTTTCTTGATTGTATGTGTGAAACAATGCTGACGCTGTACTGTATCTGCGGCGTACAGGAGTGTGGGTGTTCAGGAGATAGAAGTTGGCATCGACTTTTCCTCCGGTGTTGGTGTTGCTGGATGGAAACACTGAGGATTATTTCACTTCATAATGAAGCTCCTTGTGTGTTCTCTGAGTGAGGCAAAGAATGAAAAGGATTGAGGACGAGCGAAACGCTGTGAATTACGGCGCAACTCTGGCCTGTAATGCCAATATACTGTAGATCAGCTCTGCCAGAGACTAAGCTCTTGATGTTTTTTAATCAGCACACACGAAATACTAACACTTAATCTTCCACATCGAGTTGCACTCTTCATGGCGGCTGAGAGGTTTGAGAGACAGGCTCCTGAGAGGAAAATCATCAGTTTGAATCCCCGGAGCAGATGTGAAGTGCAAAGTGTGAACGAGTAAATCTTTCATTTGTTAACACCGAGATGAATCAAAGTCAAGGCAGCGTGACAGCTGAAAGAGAGCAAAGTAAATCTAAAACACAGGCCACAAAAGGATTATCCGTTATTGTACAGCAGTGAAGAGGAGTCAGTTAAAGGTTCAGTGTGTAACATTGAGGAGGATCTATTGGCTGAAATGTAATATTCAGTTATGTTTTTTTTATTAGTGTTTAATCACCTGAAAACAACAATTGTTGGGTTTTGTTACCTTAGAATGAGACGATTTTATATACACACAGGTCGCCTTAAATGGAGGCCGCCATAATGAACCACCATGTTTCTACAGTAACCCAGAACGGACAAACCAAATTCTCACAACCCATTCTCACTCCAAGGTCATCAATACAGATGCAAGCAGTGTTCAGTTAGTTGCAATCTGCAGGTTTGGTATGTAACTTTCAGAGAGGCTGTTCAGATGTTACATCTTTTGCAAACGCAAAAATATTATTTTGAATAGAGTCCATGTCGCAACAAGATGAATTAACCTCACCATAGGTCATGTGACAAAAATTACGCAAATCGCATCCACAGCACTTGTTGCGCAAGGACGTAACAACATCCGGCTGAAAGGTCACAAACTGAAGACTCTTCTCCACACAAATGGAGCAGTAAAGCCACTGTGAGGTGTGCTGGTAATCCATGTATCTTTGTTTTGACTTTTGAATTAGTTAAATCAGTGAGGCTTACTGCTAAATTATAACTGATAAAAGCTTCATCATCATGCAGCCTTGAAGATTTGGTTGCTTAGTAACGACAGGCGTGACAGTGGCACAACCTCTTCAACTGCCGAGTATAAAAGGATAAAAGGCCCGGCTGGCGTTTTCTGAACATCTGAACAGCTCCTGAAGTTACTGCTAAAGCAAACAGAACATTTCCGACTGCTGCAGCTTCACATTAAAAGCATTTAACGGCCAAAACACAAGTTGACTTTTATTATGAAGTAGCCGTCACAGGAAATGCAAAGTGCTTATCTGTGAGCTTGACGCTGGCTGCCCAGCTAGAGTTGCTGCCACTGTACAGAGACACATGTAGGCCATTAGTACAACAGGATGTGTGATTTAGTTGTAGATCTAAAATATGAAATATATCTGGGTAACCAGAGGTTGCTCTACTTTTTTGTGGTTTGGCAGAGTATTAATCTGTTGTGTGGCATTTAGTATGATGTCATTAAATAGAGTGAGTTTCTCTCAGTAACCCAAACTCTGACTGACTACTGTTAACTTGATATTTCTCCTGAAGTAACATCTCTTCTTCGGTCTCCATTTTCCAGGACGTTCTCCTCAAACGGACGTTGGTGTGAACCAGCAGAGAGCGAAGACAGCCGGATGAGAGCTTAAACCCGGAGTAGAGTCGATGTGACAGACATGAAGAACCTGGACCGGTATGGACGAAGTCAGCTGGAGAGTCTGGGTGAGTTTGGACGCTTCATCCTTGACACTGTAGACATTTAACTGAGGCTTTTATCCATGTTGAGAGAGATGGGATATATTCTGTAGTTTATATAGTTTGTAATCTGCTTCCATTAAAAGACTCCGCAGGTGTTAATGAAGCAGACAAGAGGTTTAGCTTTTCTTTTTGTTATTTTCTTCATGGAATAAAGAAGAGTTACCAAAAATATGTTCAACATGGATATTCCCAAAAACAGCACATTCACATTTCCAGTTCTGTTCTGTATCTTTCTGACTTTTGAGCTCCATGATTCAGAGGTTGGGTTACATGAGACAAACTTCAGTGAACAGAAAAGAGCTCAGGTTCACAGATTAATTTATATTCTAATAATTAAGTAGGTTAATGTTTAAAGTTTAAATAATGTTGTTCTGTTTGTTACTTGTGTTTTCCAGTCTGTGCAGCCCTGTCCAGTCTGGTGCTGGTTCTACTGGGACTACTGGGCTCGGTCCACGGCTGTCCTGGTGTCTGCACCTGCTACGGTAACACCACTGACTGCTCCGCTGTCGGCCTTCTCTCTCTGAGGCCCATCCTAGCGCTGTTGGACCAGGACTCTCTGATCCTCCGCCTACCCCAGAACAACCTCTCCTCCCTGGGCACGACTGAGCTGTCCAACCTCAGCAGCCTGGAGCTCCTGGATCTTTCCCGAAACCACTTTTCCACCCTGCAGCCTGGAGCTTTCTCAGGCCTGAGCAGCCTGCGCTGGCTTAACCTCTCTGCTAACTACCTCGGGGCGCGCCTGGCAACCTCTGACCCCAACAACACCACAGAGGTCCTCCAGGGCATGAATGGAAGTCAAGGGAGCATTGGGCTGAGCAAGGAGGTTTTTAAGGGTCTGTGGTGCCTGCGTAAGCTCGACCTGTCCTCCAATGGCCTCCTGTGGCTGCCCAAGGGCCTGCTGGATGCGCTTCCGAGACTCGCCTGGCTTTCCTTGGCCAGCAACCGGCTGGTGGCCCTTGACAGAGTCACCTTCGAGCCCCTATTGGGGCTAAAGCAACTCCAGCTGGCGGGAAATCCCTGGGAGTGTGACTGCAAGCTGAGGGACTTCAAGCACTGGATGGAATGGTTGATTTACAGGGGTGAGCAGGTCTCTCCAGATCTCAAATCCTGTGAAGTTTATAGTTTTGGCAGTGGGCTTTCAGTGCTTTAAGGCCGTACCGGAGCAAATCACTTTGTATTTTGAGTCTGTACTTCAAAAGCTGTCTAATCGGAGCAATTAATCTCTGCTGTGCAGGATGGATGTATGCTGAGCAAAGACATCTAAGAATATAATGACCTCCATCTCTCTCAATCCTCCCCTGTCTCTCCCTGTTTCTGTCTTCTTTTCCTCTACTTCATCTCTTCCCTCCCTGTCCTTCCCGCTCCTCTGTCTGTGTTATAGATGGGCAGGTAGATGCGATGCAGTGCAGTCTCCCGGGGGATTTGAAGGGCAGGGACATCCGCAGCGTGCCGGCAGAGATGTTCAGCTACTGCCTGCAGAGTCCGACCAAGGAGGGCGCGTCAGGTTACGCAACCCGGCCTCCCTGCCCGCCCTCCCGGGTCAGCAGCAACGATGAATGTGTTCGCCAGCGCTACCGACCCGTCAGTGTCCGCCGCGCTCACGGCACGCAAATAGTTGCGGGCGTGATTTGCGGCACCGTGTGCGTCATGATGGTGGTCGCAGCAACTTACGGCTGTGTCTACGCCTCGCTGATGGCGCGGTACCAGAAGGAGATGAAGAACCGTGGCCAGCCTCTGATGGCCGAGTCCGGAGGCGAGACGGACCTGGAGGACGGGCAAATGTCATCACCGACCTCGCCAAAGGAGTCGCCGCCCAAAGAGACCTGCGGCATCGTGCACGGGTATCGAATCAGCAGTTTCTGACCTGCCGCTTTTTACTGGTTTTAGATCCTTCCAGGACGCTCTGGCTGCTTCTGCTCCTCGGATCTCGTCACTGATGAGACGACGTCTGGGGAGGAAAACCCTGCAGTTCGGTGGTTGTGCTACTCTGGGCGGGGACTGACTGTACAGCTAATGGACCGGACTAGATTCAGTGAAACTGGAATGCTGCAGCACTTCTTTTAATGTATGGATGCTCTGTGAATTGTTATTCCCTGCGCTGCATCCCTCAGCCAGCTTTTAAACTCCTCTGAAGCTGCTGTTTGGCACTTCTGCACCTCGACTTCCTTTCATCTGTGTTTTTATTTATTCTTTAGAAATATGAAACTACCTTTTTGTTCAATCTGTTTGGATCCGAGCCCAACAAGCACAAGCTCCAAAAGTACAAATGTGAATCTGTGATATTTCTCCTTTTTCTGCACAAAATTGTCTTTTTGTCTTAACAGTTGTGTGTATTTTATGTTATATTTAACACCTCGACTTTGAGAAATAGCTCTTTGTACCTCTGTTCAGGTGAAAGCCCTGTTGAATTCCCTCCAAATAACAGACACTTTAAACCGTGTTAGAGTCCTGCTGCTGTCAGGGAAATGCTGCTTTCAGCTTCATCACTGAGGTAAACTGCATTCAAACAATAGTAGAGCTGTACTGCCACCTAGAGACCAAGCTTTGAGCTACAGCAGCTTTCAACCCAGCACAAACAAGCTCAAACACACAATTATTCCCAACATAGCAAAGTACGAGATACTGTCTGAAAGCGTGTCCCATCAGCCCCCATTAACTGTAACTTCCATGTGTTTTATTAATTCATTTAGTCCAAACTGTCTGTGATAAGCACATGAAACATTGTCTAAAATACAACTCAAGGACTGTTAATCATGCTGGGGATAATAAACTCTATATTTATCTAAATTGTTTTTTTTCTTTGAAACCACATTCATTAATCTATATCAGTTTAAGTGAATCTACCTTGCTATCAGACGGCTCTCTGACAGGGAACCGAAGACTTTGAATCACATCCGACGTATGCTGTGATTTTCTGTTTGAATCTTTTTCTCCAATATTGTTTAAACTATCAGACTTTCCTCCATTGCATCCATTCTGCTTTTCATTTCCTGCCCTCCATCTCAATTTTATCTGAATCACGTGACTGCAAACAACTGACAGTATATATAAAGTACATAGCCTTAAACCTGCAGTCTATGTAACAGCCAGCAGGGGGCAGATACCATTCAGTCTTATGGAGAAATGAGCCGACTTCTCAGCTGATTTATGAGCTCAGTAAACAGTTTCCTGATGAGTTTCTGCCCTCAGTCTCTAGATTCAGTCTTCTTCCATACAG